GTTAAATACTTTCCAATCCCTGCAGACTAAACTGATCTATGGTATTTCAGTGAATAAACTGGACATTACCTAGCTATTACACATTCATCCCTACCTTGCATTTTTTTGGATAAGATTTCATCAAGACAGCTGAATGTAACTTTGTGCATGACTGATTCAGGAGAGAAAAAATTATTAACATGCATTCCAAGTGGTCTGTATGCAGAACAAAAGCAATTCTACCTACTAATATACGATCAGAACATGAGTTGTAAGTGCATTTCCCTTCAAAAGGTTCATCTCTCTTAAAAAGGAAATCACTTAAACGTAGAAAGAATAACTCCCATTTTAGTTTTCTTTGGTGTGTTTAGAAGCCTTGCAGTTTTCAACTTTATTACAAACACTTCTACAACTGAAATAGCATTAATACAAAGTAGTATTTACTCCTTTTTCACAGACATTTCAAAAGAGACACAGCATGAGAAAGACTCCTAAATGGTTTAAAATTTGAAGTAAGAACAGAATAAGTAATGCTTTGACATTCAGTACAATAAATCTTTCCTCACCACACACAACTCAACTAGTTATCTTTGTTGCCACCATTTCCCATTCTGATTTACGGTCGAAACAAGATACAAGAAACAATGACAGGACTTAACTTTTCATATTAATGTCCCTCTAACCCACTACATACAAGCAGAGATTAAAACCCATCACTTGTTCTCATTTTAATTTCTCGAAATACTGTTTTATCTGTGCAGTGTCTAATGCAGTTATATTTGAGCTCAGATTCAGTTAACACAACTTACTGAGTCACCGAGTTATCAGCTGAGCTGTAGCAATATGCCAGACAGGCAGGAGAACAAATGCTTTTACCTAAATCTCCTTCTAATTGTTTGAATGTGTTGGAACACCTGGTAAATACAAGGTAGGCTACTACATGACTGTTGCTGGATGGTAACTCATTAAGATATACAACTTGATCACTTGTCTAGATTCTTAATCTGAAACAGTATTAATCCATTTCAGCTCATGGTATCCTTATACTATATATATATTTCTGCTGAGTACTGAATCACTAGCATCAGATAGCCATGTAGCTGAATACACAAAAACAAGACAGTCCTTGTCTCAGAAAGCAAGCATATGATGAGAAGTTTCAACGAACTCTAAATACCATACCTAAATATCTAATGGATGAATGTAAATCAGAACATGCCTGCTAAACAGGGAAAGGCCAGGCAGGGGGGAAAAAAAAAAAAAAAAGGAAAAAAAAAAAATCTGTGATGAGGCTATCCACCATACAACCGCTCTCTGTATTCAATCACATGTATCAAAAGCACATTGGAACAGAAATGCATTATGAAAACAGAGCTTGTTCTCTAACAGCAATTGCAAAAAGATAGGAAGAAAAAAAAGAAAGGCCAGTTTGAAGAAAAATACTGTGAATACTAGCCTACACTACAAAGACTTCAGAAATATATAGCTGCTATTAGTTCCCCACTAAAGTAAGCCAACCACAGTAAAGATCAATGATTCCAGAGTGCCAGTGTTAAAATTAAAGACAATTCTTCAGATTATATAAACCAACACAGTTCCAGCTTGTATCAATGGAAGAGAACATTAAGTGCCCAAGAACATTAATGAATTGTTCACTGAAGACATTTTCCATTTACAAGTACCTCTTTCAAAAAAAAAAAAAAGGAAAAAAGAAAATCAAGACTACAGAATATGGAAGCATTTAGGTACAGAGCAGACATCTGGCAAAACAATGACAAATGGCAGGATTAACACTTAGATGTAGTTCTATTAAAAAGACAACTCCTCCACTGTTGGAATAATCTCATAAAAGCCCTTTCACTAAATCATTCTTTCATACTAACTGATTCTTTTTCAATGCAATTTAAACTCATTATGTTAAATGAGCACTATTATATTTGCAATAAAATAAACAAAAGTACTGTTTTTACGCTTGCCTACCAGGTAAATCACCCTTTTAAAAATATCACAGTTCTATCTGTTGCAGTGTACTTAAACATACATATTTAGAAGTTGGTGGTGGTTACCATCTTTTTACTTGGATGAATTGGTCCATAAAGTACACACAAATACAAGCAACATCTTTAACATTTACATTTTTTTCCACTTACAAGTGCTTACACTTTCTCTCACAGAAATTGTCCTGCTACTTGTATAAATTATGCAATCACAATAAAGACATTGTCCTGTCTTCAGTATGGAACACTAACAAAATCATTAAAAGCAGCTGCAAGAAATCCTGAGGCGTTAAGAGAAAAATGTGTGTAAGACTTAGTGTCACAACCAGTTGTGTACTTTGATGATCAGATTTCAGCTGGTGCCTCAATTTTCCCTGTTTGTTCTAACAATTGTCTTTTATCACAGAGTGGGACATGCAATTCATCCTACCACCCTTTGCACCAGGTATATAAAAAGGGACTTGGCAGAAAATTAGCAGAAGATTTTATCAAAACGTGTAGGTTTTTGGAACAGATGATATTTTCTTTTATTAAAAGGGCCAGTGCCATTACCTAACATCATCCTTTTCCTTTGTGGAGGTTCAGTGTATGTCCTCACTTATACAAAGAAAGGAAGATGGGAGTTGAAGAAATGGAAGTTTGAATGGAGCCACATATAACTTTGCAGGTTTGATCATACAGGTGATAACTACTAAATTTGCTTCTGCTGTGCAAGTTTAAAGCAACTGTCAGCTGAAATTAAAGCAGTGTACACATGGCATAATACTACAGCAGGTTTAGGTCCATCTCATGCTTACCTGAGGAGGTAAAAACGGATTCTTAGTCTTCATATCTTCAGAAGGGACATTATGGTCCTGTTACTTCAGTGAAGATGTGCAAGAACAGCTCTGCAACAGTTACATCCGTTTCTGAAGATCTCAGAGCCACATTTGCTTGGGTCTGCTGCATATATACATATTTTTGTTTATGAACAGCAGAAATAAGTTAGCAATAGCCTGAGGAAACTCTGCTATGCCTTGTATCACTTTTTAGGTTGACAGCGCTGCTAAAGACTTACCTCTTTCTCATTAATTCAGTTAGTAAACTTTCAGGCTACTAGATTGGAGTATGGGGGGTAGGGACAGCATACTCTCGTTTCATTTCCAATAGTGACACCAGGATTTTCTATAAAACATTCAATTGTATAAAACAGCCAAATACTTCAGAAATTGAAATTGCTTTTTAAACAAAAGGAAGTACTTTACTTTTTTTTTTTTTTAATTGGAAATGCAACAAAAATTCAGCTAGAATGAGTAGTAACGGAACTCTTACCATTTTTTGGCTGCTGAGTGCCCATTGACTTCAGCAGCTTCACAGCAGGTCAGAGAAGGTACTTGCCCATCTCAAAGGATCAGTGCAGCCAGAATAATTCTACATCTTCATTTACACATTTAGCGGTGAGGCCAGCGACTGAGAGGACTTTGGGACTGAGCTACCATTTCCTTGCTAAAGGTGGTACCTCAAAGTCTAACTTCAGGCAAAACAAAACCTTGACTGGCCACTTGTCTGTGCAGCATGAATTTCAGCATCTGTTGTTCTGGCATTCATCACACCCAGTCCACTTGTTAAAACATTTATATTACTTCAAGGGATCCCAGTCACCATCAGCAGTCAATAAGAAAGGAGACAGAATGCAGCTGATCATGCTCGTTACACTAGCTAACCACCAAACACAGAAATGTTTCTGTTTCTTCATTAAGCAAGGTTATACAAGTCAAACTAGAACTGAATCAGCCTTAACTTCATTATCTTTGAAAGTTACATTAAGAAACAACCCTATTGCTGTAGTATAGAGCACTACTGTCTCTGTAGTACAGAGCACAAGTGCTTGCACATAAACATTGCTTGCATGAACCAATTAACGTACTTAAATGAATAAAGAAAAGAGAGAAATTATTTTTAAGGAAATCACTACCATAATAAAGTCACAGAAGTCAACAATGCAGTTTTGCTTTTATCTTAACAGAGTACTGTGAAACTACACAAATTTGTAGTGGTTTGTGGTTTGTAACATGCTATGTAATAACACTGGAGTCCCAATATCGTGTCATTTTTTTTTTTTTTTTATACAGGGAGTAACAGATTTGGTCCTAAAATTACTTCAAGGAACCTGAAAGATCAGGCACATACATTCAATTTTTATATGAATGCTTACTGTTAGATAAAGAGTATCAGATATGCACTGTTTCCAAAACAACTGAATGTTACGTACATCCAGTAAGAGCAGACAACAGCTCAGCTGTGCTGATAATTGGGACACTTATTCATATGTCAATACATGAGGCAAGTATCTAGGCTCAAATCAGACAGAAGGCTAGAACACAGGAAAACAGAACAAACAGGAATTTAAAGAAATTTCATAATAGATATTATATGTGATTTTCTTAACAAATGCCCTAACTGCCATATTGTTCAGATCTGTAACTTCCTGTCTACATTTTAAATCCTCTACCAGAATATATTTAACTGAAGTATTTTCTGAAAAAAAGAAAAAGCATTTCTGCATTTAACAAAACCTCTCAAAACCTGTTATTTACCAATGACACAATAACGAATCTGAAGGGAACAGCCCACATGCTGTTTTACTACTAGACTTAAAACTCAATGTTCTGAAAAACAGTGTAGCTTACGTAAGGCAAGGCATCTTCACAGTATGGCTCTCACAAGAAGCAATTCATTAACCATAGTAACAAGTATCTATAAAGAAAAATATTCCTAAAAATAATTTCAATATACCTAGTACCAGAAACAGACTAACCATGTGATGTTCAATAGGGAAGAAAAAGATTAATTTACATCAACATGTCTCTTCAATCCCTCCAATGCCAATTAAAAAAAATTATGCAATTGCACTTGTTACTGAAAAACTTGCAGGAACAGTCTTGCTCATTGGTATCAATTTTAAGCATCAAAATTTTAGTGTGGTGTGTTTTTTGTTGTTTTGTTTTGGGTTTTTTAAGCAAGGAAATTGCTGACCCAATTAAGTCAGTAATTTGTTCCATACCAATTATTTACCTTTTTGGTGCTTATATAAAGCACCAAACTAACTATAAAATACTCCTTGGTTTCTTCCAACCATACCAACTCAACACGGACTTTACCCTCTGAATCTGCATAGTATGTGGTATAGGTACGACCCAGGTAGTCATAAAGGCCGGATGCCTCGGAAGACAGTTCGATGTAGACTGGGGCACTGAAACACCAGAAGGGCTTTCCAGTTTCATCCAAGAGAGTAACATCCATCACAAAGCAGTCCTACAAAAACAAGCAGAAGAGATTATTTCCCTATGCCATGGCACAATAAGTAGATCTGTCCTGATTTTAGGAGAAATATCAAGGGTTCAGAGAGCAATTTTTGGTATGAAGGCTAAAAGCTCAAAATATAATTGATAGTGCTCTACTGACTACTGCAAAACAAAAAATACTTATTTAGAGGTTTCCTACAGAAATCAAAATTGCAACCTACAGACATCAAAAACTCTGCTACAGGAAGTAGTACGGCCAATCTAAATCAGACATTATTTCTTGAACATATTTTAAGCCTTTAACATCTGTGTTTCTCAATTATTAGTTAGCTTACCATTCAAATAATGATAGTCCTTTCAATATGAGAAAGAAACCCACATTTAAACTCAGGTGCTAAACTTGTGTGAATGCAGAAATGTTTGCAAAGATACTCAAAGACACCACCCCCAATGCAGTGTACACACACAACAATTACCCTTATATGCCAGCTATAAACAAAAGGTATAGAGCACTTTTTGAATGGCTGCAAGCTTCAGTTCCCCAAAAGGTAATACTAATATATCTTTCTACCCTCCAAATAATTCTTCCTTTTAAAAATTCTTGAAGGTATTTCTTTACAACACTACACAATTACATCATTTGATAATGCTAAAGTCAGGATGCCAGTTCTTGGGTACTTGCAAACTGATGGTTTGACACATGCCTTAAAAGCATATGGGTTGTGTGTCATTGTTAATACCAGTTGTTACCTATTCTTATGAGTTCTGAATCACTAAATAAATCAGTTTATCTTAATTATGCTGTATATATGCATTACTTCCAGCAGTATCATATGCTCCAAAAGCATAAACAAACCAACATCACATATTCCATGCCAAAAAATTAATTAGGAATGCTTTATTTCACTGTACTACGTAGTTGTGCTTCCATTGCTTTAACATTTCTTTCACTATTACTGTACTTCAGTCAAACCATACAGAGCAGATGGCACAAACATACAAGGTAATGCGATACATACAGTTTTCCTAAGTTTTTTACTGTAGACTATGCTAAAAATAAAAATTTCAAACCAAAGCTGACGATCATTTAATAACTTATACAAGCTATAAATTTACTTGAAACAAGAAATGATTACTATTTTGTGGTCTGACATCCTGCATATCAAAGGCTAATTATGAAAAGTAAAGCAGGGTGGCCTTGACTGTTGGGGGGGGGGGGGGGATCCCATGTATTTCCAACTATCTGTACTTCAACAATTAGTTTTTTATAAAAAATACCCAGAAGTGCTAAAAAAGCTTTTCTTTCTTTTTTTTTTTCCTCTCCTTAGAGTATTGGACAAAATTCAAATAAATTCAAAGTACTGGCATGTTCTGCTGCTGTGGCTGATTTTATTTGGCCTTCATATGTTTTAAGAGTTTTAGAGATTTATGTTAAAAGCCAAAGTGAATTCTACCCACAGCTATGTGTTGACATGTGCAATCTCTCACCACAAAATGAGGGGTTTAAAAAAAAAATTTATATTATTTATTTTTTCCCAGAAACAAATATTCAGTATAACTTATGCTGTAAGCACATAGGACAGAGCTAAACTGAAGACTATAGCCATAGCTCTCTGTTTCCTCTGACAGTTAATTTACCAGATTTTTATGTGCTACTCATGATTATTTTCATGGAAGAAAAAATTCTGCCAAGCAGCTATAAATCATATAGAATCATAGAATGGTTTGGGTTGGAAGGGACCTTAAAGATCATCTCGTTCCAACCCCCCTGCCATGGGCAGGGACACCTTCCACTAGACCAGGTTGCTCAAAGCCCCATCCAACCTGGCCTTGAACACTGCCAGGGATGGGGCATCCACAACTTCTCTGGGCAACCTGTTCCAGTGCCTCACCGCCCTCACAGTGAAGAGCTTCCTTATATCTAATCTAAATCTACCCTCTTTCAGTTTAAAGCCATTACCCCTTGTCCTATCACTACCTGCCCTTGTAAAAAGTCCCTCTCTGACTTTCCTGTAGGCCCCCTTTAGGTACTGGAAGGCTGCTATAAGGTCCCCCCAGAGCCTTAATTTTCTGATACCTGTCCAACACGGCATCAAGATTTCCTACCTCCTATCATATGCTTTTCAAGCAAATGAAGCATATTCTGTAATTATGTACTAAGATCCCACTAACTTTAAGCATACAAACAGTTCTAATGAAATTAATGGGATACACAATAAAAATAAAACTAATTCAAGTGAAAATTTTTCAGAAGCCTTAAAAAAGCACCTATTCTGCATTATGGTTCTCAATGAACATTCATGGCAATTAGAGAAAGATGGCAAACAATTCCCTTAAAAGCATTTTCTTGTTAGCTTGAATTCCTTCTAATTACCAACATACAGTATTTTTATTAACATGCATAGGGGAAGGATTTTTTCTTCTTTTGAAAACAAACACACAACTCAAAAAAGTTTAGTACAAACTGAGAAAAAAAAAACCGCAAGTGAACAAACTTGTCAGTATGCAAACAAGGAACTTGAAGAAAAAAAATTGCTATGAGCAATTAGAGGGAGGACTGAATGGCAACTGTAATCCATGCTCAACTGTAGCTGATGTTCCCAACAGATACTAGTACATAAAATTTATCTTAAAACTTAGTTATATTCCTCATTGCATAGGAAAGCTGGCTGATGCTATAAAACAAGTATGTGAATGTCTATGAGCAAAGTATTACGTTATCAAACAGTATTCCATTCCACACTTATGCAGTATTAGCAGAAATGACAGATTTATTAATTTTTACTTTTTTCAAAGTAAGTGCCAAATTGAAATCAAGTGTTGAACTGGATCATTTTTCAGTAGTGCTTAAGTTACATTTATCAGAATTTTTGGTACTTCTGAAATATTCATGCAGCTGAAGTACATTTAAAAATATATGCCTTCACCACTATTGCAAAATCTACAGAACTACTCTCAAACTTTCTTTAAAGTAATTCTTTTAAGAATTTTATACAAGAGAATGAGTGATAATTCCTCTAAAATACTGTTAATCCAGCTGACTCATGTACATGACTCAAGAGCTAGGTGCTGACTGCATGAATGTGGACTGTAGTTTCTGCCCGCGTCCACTAGCATTTTAACATTCTCCAACAGCTTCTAACTTTCATTGCACATACATGCTACAACAGAACTGCAGAGTATTTTCCCAGGGGTTCAAGACTTATTGCCTGCAAGGAAAAAAAAAAAACAAAAAAACCCAAACCAAAACACCCCCCACACACAAAAAGCACATCTCCAGTACATATTTTGTCCAGCGTTTCCAAGCACCGCTGGTCAGTCACAGCATCTTTGCTGAGTGGAAAGCACTGGAGTCATCACACATGCATAATGAGTCTATCATGTAATCTAGACTCTAAGACAGAAAGGACAGAACTTTTTTTTTCCCTGAAAATTCACACTGTTTTTGCAATATTTGAATTGAGTTTTTTTCCTAGTTACAGACACCTTCCACAAATAAAAACATTTTTTTTAAAATTAGCATATTTAGGATGCATAAACATAATTCTGTTTTGAGATAAGCATTTCCAGAAACAAAAAGTATTTCTGACTGACCTTTACATTGCCTTTAAACACATCTGTTTCCCAGGATAAGCCAAGTGTCCCAGCGAGAGGCAAGTGCTTCTTATTATCCTTCAAGCTTATAACTGTCAGCCTCAAATACCCGTTTGCAATGTCACCTGAAAATATTAACAATATATAACATTATACTACTACAAATCAAACTAAGTACACTGTAAATGTTCTCTCTGTTTCTCCCTCTGTCTTTAGTTTCCTCCCACTCACTAATAAGGAACCCTGACATACACCAACATCTAGATATCAAGCACATTATAAAGAATTTAAGTCGCAGTTCAGGGCTTTGATTCTGTGATCCACAGTAGAAGCAGCAGCTAAAAAATATTTGGTATATTTGAGTATAAAAATCTGAATGCCACCTAAAGGACTTACACAAGGATGCAGGGAGTAAATTCCATGTTCAATATTTCAATTTCATGCCACCAGTGCCTCCATCACTGCCCACTCCTCAAAAGTCAAGTTCAACCCATAACGTATGAAATAAATTATGACATACCCCCTACCCTTTGTTTTTTTTTAAATCTCTCTGCTCTGTCTGGTAATTCATATAACCCTGTTCAACAGGGTATAAGGATACCTATCAATCCTCCCTGGAAAAGGATATTGCATCACTTAAACTGACAAGCAGTATGCCTTGATTTGAATCAAGTTTTTAAATTATGAATTTGTTCATTTTTTAAACAGCTTTCCAAAGGCTCACTTCCATTTTTTGACAGAATTATTAAGATTTCTTTGTGATTTTTTTTTTTATTTTATTACTACATATAACTGTATTTCTTTGGTGTGTCTTTGTCATGTTTTAGGCCCAGCTGGCAACTAAGCACCACATGGCCACTTGCTTAATCCTTCCCCTGCCCTGGTGGGATGGGGAGGAGAATCAGAAGAAAAAGCTAAAAAATCCTGGGTTGAGATAAGGACAGTTTAATGACACAACGCAAGGAGAAAAGAAACAACAATAATACTAATAAAAATATATAAAGCAAGCGATGCACAATGCAATTGCTCACCACCCAGAACCCAATGCTCAGCCTGTTCCTGAGCGGCAATCTGTCCTCCTCCTGCCCCGGCCAGTTCCCCCAGTTTATTTACTGAGCATGACATCATATGGTATGGAATATCCCCTTGGCTAGTTTGGGTCAGCTATCCTGGCTGTGTCCCCTCCCAGCTTCTTGTGAAAACTAACTCTATCCTAGCCAAACCCAGGACAGTATTCCTCTCCCCCTAGAAGAGACCAACTTTTCTTAAATGTTCTTTTTTCCCTTGCTATCGGAGGAGGAAAGTTAACCAAGGAGTCCAACTGTCTAATTATAATTTGGGATACATCATAACAAACAAGATCTCTGACTACAAAAAAAAAAAAAAAAGCATTACATCACGACACAAGCAGATTTGTTTGTAAGACACCCCTTAAACAAATTCCCTTGAACAAGACATACTCTCTTAAAAGAGCAAACAAAAGCACTGGAGACCTCAAAGGAAAAAAAAAAAAAGGAACAGAACTATGTATCTAGCACTTGCAGGAGACAGACAGGAAGGAAGAGAAGGAATTCCCAGGAAAATACTGCTTGTCAGGATTCAGTAGCAGGCCCTGGATGGTAAGATAATAACTGAAGAGGTTTGTAGAGGTTTAAGATGCAAGTGGCAAAAGTGAAAAAAAGAGAGAAGTGTTTTGCCTGTGGTTCTCCTTCAATCAAGCCCAAGTAGCACCATGAGGCTGAAGACAGAAGCAGCAACATCAGAAAGGCTGGCTTTGAGTTAAAAAGCTAAAGCCTGTGTGAATAAGCAGCAGAAGCCTTTGCGTGGTGGCTGCTGAGGGCAGACAGCTGGATGCCAAGTGACAGAGAAAGAGAGCCCACAGTTTACCAGAGAAGCCAGAAACTTCTCTGAATTGGTACTGTGGGGCCAAGCAACTCCCAAGAGATGCTTGGCCACAAACCAATGCTGGAAAGACATCACTCACAAGCAGGGAGTCCAAAGAATACTTACTGTGTGGAGGAAGCATCCCAAAAAATGACAGAGGACAGAATCAGCAGGTTTTTCAGCACAGACACTGTCTGGAATAGGAGTGTGAATACAGTGAAACCAACATGACTATGCCCAGGAAATATTTAGTATGGTTGAAGGAAAATGCATCACTACAGACAGTGATACCCACTGTCCTTGCACTGAAGTCCCAGGGAACTCACTGAAGAAAATGTAAGCAGAATTCACTTTCAAGATCCAGCTCAAAGTGCAAAAAAGGCTATTAAGTTGCCTTTATGGTTCAGTACCCAAATGGTTCAGTTCCAAACCTCAGTTGCCTTTATGGTTCAGTACCCAAATGGTTCAGTTCCAAACCTCAGTAAATCAAATCCAACGACAGGATTTCATTCAAGATAAAACTATTTTAGATAAATAGTCAAGCTTTACTGAGTGAACATTGAAAGCCTGCATTTAAAGTTGAGCTTTTTTTATACAAGAGACTTTAAACAATATCAGTCAACAATCATTTTTCCCAAAGGACTATTCAGTTATCTGCAATTCAAATTTGAATGCAAGCAGCTATTCCTCTTGCTCATTCAAAACAAATGAAAAATTTAATGGAATAAAAACAGATTGAAAATAAGCATACTGCTAATAAATTAATGAAGCCCAGAACATCACTACTATTGCATGGCATTTAACACAAACTGCTGCATTGCTAGAGGGGTCACCTGGCTAAGGTGTAAATTATAAATCCCCTATTGCAGTTACTTCTTAACTTTAAGCCAGAATGGAAATAGGTGACACAGATCAGGAACCTGAAGGCTAATTATTCATGGGTTAGTTAATCCAGTCTTTATAATTTATTTTTTTTTAAATATAAAAGCTCCATTGCAGTCCTCATATCCAGCAGAAAGAAAAAGCATGCCTAGAAATTAGCAAGAAGCTGAAGTGTTAAGTACTGAAATCTCCCCTTTCTCATCCCAGTCAGATGAGAACAGGAAATTAAAGGGCAGACCAAGCTATATTAAACACACCAAGGAAAACATAGAGGAAGCAAACTCATCTAGAATTTGTTTCATTGTCCCCTTATAGTATCTACTGTCCAGGATTTATGCAAGACACGTATAGCAGCAAAGCAGCCCTTTAATCAGTATAGGTTATAGGGAACAAGTATTTCCAAATAAAGGGAATACCAATATAGAGAACAGATATCATGTAGACAAACCTCAGGGGAAAGAAACAAATAGCCCAATAGTTCAAAGGCACTTATTTTAGCTAAAAGCCAAGCAAGTTTGTTTTGCTAACCGAGCCTTTGTTGCAAGTTATAATTTGATTGTTATTTTCACAGGGAAGGCTGTACTTAACACTAATTCTGGTGGCAACAACCAGGCTTACCATGCTGAAATGGTCATTTTCAAGGTCAAGCTAAAACATTTCAAATACATGATGTGATATTTTACAAACAAATCTGAAAAGTGCTCTAAACACACAAAAATCACCCCATTACGTTTTGCAAGCACAATGCACCAACTTACATCAACAAGGAATAATACTGAAAAGCCAAAGCTTAGACTACCATATGGTTACAAAGCTATGCTTAAAAGTTGAAAGCCTAAGTAAATACATTTCACGAATGTTTAATAAAAAGCTAGTATTCATGGCTTCTATGCAAAAAGCCTGTCACAGCTTCCTGAAAACAAGAAGTTTTCTAATACTTTCAGTTCACCCTACAGTATCTGTCAACAAGACCATATTACCAATTCTGTTTAAATGGAAGGAAGCATAAAATAAAATGCTAAACCCCAGCCAAAACAAAGTGGCAAAACAGCTAGTTACTGCAGTGCAAGTATTAATAACAGAAAAAAAAGAGCTGAAGCCATATATACTCCATCCACTCGGTTCAATGAAGTGTGATAAAACTTTTTTAATTTAATGTTAAGAATTTTGCAGAAAGAATTGAAAACAGAGCAGCAAAATGAAGCACAATATTAATGAACAATAACAGAAAATAGGCAAAAATAAAACATGCCACCATTGACATGTCTGTGGTGGTGTGCTCCCCGAGCCGCAACCTGACCTGTATTTCCCATAACCCTGCTCAAGGGATAACCACCAGTGGTGGTCGTGATGGATGTGTCTGGTCGTGATGGCTGCATTCCGCTCAAAGCGGATTCAGGGGAAGATGGGTAACAACTCAATAGCCAAGGGCTAAATCTGAGCAATGCACCCACCTAACCACAGTGCTGGTCAATGTCCGACTCCAGCCAAATTTGGAAGAAGCTAACATCTGTAGTCGGTATGCAAATAGGACTGTAAATCAATCATCTTACTCCATAAATAGTGGACACCCCAGGGCCTGCTGAGCTCTGCACAGCAGCGGGCTGCGTGTCAGGATCTCCCCTTGAGTAGGGATGCCTCTCAAGGTTACTCCCCTAGGTTGTGAGATTCCTTGCCACAACAGATTCTTGGTAAGTGATTAACAGCATGCTAAACTTTGAAATCTCAGCTAAGTGATGTAAAAGATCAATGACACATATATAATCCTTTAGACGTAAACCATTGACCAAGTCTGGGACTAAGTCTGGATCCAGCCACACCTATACTCCCCTCTGAGAAGGAGTTTAGAATGCAAGGGGGTCCTTTCTGAACCTCATGACTCAATGGGAGGGTCTCCCTGACAGTTTTGTCTGACTCTATCCTCTATGCGGTAAATATAAAGTGAATCTTGCCGTCAAATCTTGTTAAACCACTGTTGCATTTACTATCAAGCTTTGTTAAATCACTGCTTTATATCAATAAACATATTGCTACTTCTCTCTTACGAGTGAAGTGCGTCACTCCATCCGCGGCAGTGTCACATACATAATTTAAAATAAATCTGGATTGGGTAGAGAATTTTAAGAAGTAGCAAGACTTCTCAGTATGTCAGAGACCTCCATGCTTCAGAGCCCTCCCAGAGAATGGGACAAAGAGTATCATTAGAACAGAGCCTAAAAACAAAGCACAAACCATCAAATACAACCAGACTGGATACACCTACACTGTTGGCCACATTCAGAAACACCATGTTTACTAGAAAGGGCAAAGTGAACAACAAACTACCATGAAGGTATATGACAGCAGCCAGCCATAAACTGCCTCACTACATCATTTTTTAACACAAATTATGGAGGAAATCAAGCATTTTCCAAAAGGAATTATTGTGCAAGTACATGGAAGGGACTAGATGACAAACAAGCTTATTGCCTGCAGAATCATGGCTTTAGCTGGCTGATGTCCTGTGAGAGCAGAATCTAGCGGCTGTCACACAGCTGAAGGACACAAAACCGATACAGTTCAGAAAACACTCGTTATCATAAAACAGATTCTCTAACTAGCAAAGTGAGATGGCATCACAACTATAGCTCCTGGACACTTGCTACAATTTGCATAAACATCAGCTTAATCTTTAACATAAGTAGCATCTAAGTGGCAAAAAAATGATACCAACAAAGAAAGTATGCCAAATACTGCTTTCTCTTGTATAGCTGTATTGCTATGAGCATAAAATTTTCATTTTAGAAAACAAAACATGACATTCACCTAAAAAAAAACCAAAACAAGACCAAAAACCCAACCCTCTGGCCAATTGACAGAAGAAATTTTTTTTTTTCAGGTATAAAGAGGACTCCTGTATTGAACAACACCTCAGGAAAAATTTCTGTTGCTACATGGATAGAATTTCACAGAAGTTTTACCCTAATAAGTATCCCTTTATTTCAAGCTTGGAGCTTTTCGGGAATCTGAAAACATGTTTCAAATTCAAAGGACTAGAACACTGCACACTGTGCACGAGGCTACAGTCTAAATGACAGCTCTTGGAGTAATGAAATACAAATTTAAAAAAAAAAAAGTCATGGGTAAATTTGTTCTAACACTGTAAAAGCACTCAAGCCTGATAACAGTGCCCTCTACTGTTTTCATCAAAAACAGTATTTTCTGAAATCAACAGAAGGCTCAGTAGTAGTTACCAGAAAAATACTGGGGAGCAATAATTAATTTAGAGTTTTTAATTTTAATTGTTTAATTTTAAGTTTAGTATTTTAATCTGTTTCTGCTGACAGAAAGACAGCTGTGTAGCTATAGGCAGGGCTGTGCTGAAGTTAAAGTCAAATGAGAGATCACCAATGTATTTTGCAAAACCCTAGTAAGAATTATTAAGTTGGGCTGTACATGAACAACAAGGATAACCAATCATGTCTCATTAAAAGAAATGCTAAGAACTGAAAAAAGCAGCATAGTTAAAAACAATCACTGAACTTATTACAGAATGAAAGGATGTCAAAACACACAACCTTAAGTTGACCTAAATAAAAGCTATGTATCTTAAAGTTCACAGTACCTTCTATAAATATATTTAAATATTTAATCTATCAATGCACCTGAATTATACTTGAGAAGAATTCTATGGAAATAGGTCTCCAAAATGTATGAGGACAAACTCACTCTCCCTTACAGTATACAAGTGGAAGGAACATCAACCTGCACCAAAAGCTCTGCCACTGCATTATTAACTCAGCACTGAACCAAACGAAAATATCCTGACAATCTGCAGAACTTATATCTCAGGCCTGACACTATGTCAATGTAATAGCAGGCAGACTTCATACCGTGCAAGCTTACAACACCACACAACGCACCATGCCGATACAAAGAAATCACACAACAGACAAAAAGATAGCTTACTCTTAAAAATCCATTGCAGTTTCTCCCCTTAAAACAGAGATACTGGATATAAGAGGGAAAACATAACAGCAGGGATCATTTTAAAAACAGATATTACTGTTCTGCCAACTATACCTTTTCTGCAAAAGAGGCTCTTGAATGTTCCACACAGGTAGGTGCAGCTTCCACCATGCATATCAAGATGTAGACTGTAGTCATGCAGTCCATATTCTGGGTCAACATCATCCAATACAGGTTTATTAGGTGGAAGGGCATATTGACTTTAAAAAAATAATAATAATAGAATTAAGCAAGGGGGAATGACTTAATAGAAAGATATAGTAAATAGCTCTACACTGAGACTATCACCTTCGGAGAGGTTATAAGAGGGGAAAAATTATTAGAAGATACAATCTTTCTTCTCTATTAATGCTTTTGAAAACCAAACATCTCTAGTTCACCATGCTTCTTTTAAGCTGTCTAATGCAGTGTCTAATACTTCTGATCAGCTGTCCAGCTTAGCCAAAGGCAGAAAATATGGCAGTCAACTTTAAAAAGTACATCTGTTAAACTCCAAAATATGGACTTGTTTACGCAAAAAAAAAGCATCAGCTTATGAATCTAAAAGCCAACTAGCTATAGACTTCTCTGCAATACCAGTTATTGAATAATTTTGCCTGTGCCTAACCTAAAAGAGAAACAACTGCACACAAATGACCAGAAGAACCCAAATCCCAGAGGCAACTGAGAAGCTTCTACATCGGATCCTATTTGGTAGTGAGGAAGATTATGTTAAGTCTTAACCTTCTGTGTAAAAAGAGCCATACTAAGTTATAATGGGTACATAAGACTACCAGTAAATACAACAGTATCTGAGGAGAAAGCTGAGGGGGTGGGCTGGGGGGAAAGTAATTCCACAAAGTCATCCTCTAAAGCTAAAACCCTCCATCTTTGTAAACAGTTTACAGTATATGAACAGGTATTATATTATACCCTGCAATATACACATATACTCAAATACTTCATAGGAAATCCAGCTAGTTTTTCAATAGGACTGAAAGATAAACGCAGGCACCTTACCAGTTTACTAGAATTTTTTTCTCCCCTCTTACACAGCTAAAGATTATTTTCCTACTTCCTAAGATGTCTCCCTCTTTTCTAGGTCTTTCAGATAGGAAGAGGGAATAAAAAGACTGCTTGTGAAAAGGGAGAAAGTATGGGCAGTGTATTTCTAACTTTCCCAATACAGCAAGCACTAGTACACTTGTATGACTACAATATCTCCTTAATAGCCTAACAATGGTAACATTTTAGGATGAAAATACTTCTACAGCTTTCTATATAGTTACGCATAACTGTTGTTTATATTAAGCAAGAATAGTTAATTACTGCCTAAATACAAACCTCTTACCAACAGCCAATTTTAACTGTAAAACTCAAAGCTTTATTCAAAAGGTTATCTTTATTACCCACAAAGGAGAAACCAAAACTTACACAGTAGCAGAACCCAAAGTGCTTCTCTCAAGAAGCTGATGATAATGAAGACTCGCCATAACAAAAGCAATTTCATTTTTCTCCTGAAAAGTTAATTAAAGTAGATTTATTTTCATCTGGAAATACATTTTTTCACAAGGTCTTCCTGAACATTAAAATTCATAGATAAGTGCTGCTGCTTATTACTCTGCCCGTTACTGTAATAATGTTAATAATAGCTTGCTTTAACACTTGGACCCCTGTAACTGCTACTGGTTTTTCACTAGAGTACAGAATACATGTAAAAGATCACAGAATTTATGTGTTGTGGGGAAAGGGAGGGAAACTAGCTATGCCAGGGCAAAAGTTATCAGCAGCAATCCATGAATTGTACTTCTCTAGCTTCTACTTACCACTTTAAACTGGATACCTAAGAGTCAAACAGGCCTTATTCCCAGCTACTAAACACCTAAGCATCAAGCTTTTTCATATGTAAAGAACTGTTTGCAAAGAGGGCTAACATCAGTGAGGAATACAGAGCTATTCAACAGAAATATTGAATTTCAAAGTAAAACCCCAGATGTCTTCACCAGATTACATACTCCTGGGAAAATGATAAGACATACCTTCTATAGGCCTATGTAGCTCAAAGAACACTTCAGAGCTCAGTGAGAGAACTAAACAGAGCCAAAGGTATCTATTTACTCCAAGAACACAGAATGATAGGATTTCAGCTTTTTGGTTTTTAAAAGAAAAATGCATTCTTAACTCTTACATTTGCAAACACATAAGTCAATGGCAAAATTATTCACTGCCGGCAGTCTATTACTGTCCTGAAAAGTGGGCAAGTATTGTTTTCATCTCTCTGGGTTACCAAACAGAAAATGACATCCCTTACTCCAACTTTTTTTTTTTTTTAGCTACTCCTGTACTTTTGTAGTGCAAAATTACAGCTATAAAAGATAAAATGACAGAGATTTATCAATCACATAAAGTCTCTCAGTCTTTCTCTATCAAAATACCAGAAGGCCCATATAACCTGTACTTGGCTGTCAAAACTACTAGCATCAACAATTTCTGTTACACAGCTAAGCTATGTGCGAAAAAACAAGATGTGTGGCATTTACGATTATTAAACCCATCTACAGTTAACTGCCTAATGTTACTCTGCTCACACAGAGCATAAGAACAGCTGTTCAGAAAAGTAAGCAGGAAAACTACACTAGAGTGAGGCACTCGATGCTTAACAACTTTGTGGAAATTCATTATGATTGAACTACTACCAGGTGCTGAAAAAATTCTCTTTCCAAGCATGGGAAGGGGTAAACCGCTAGCAGGACTATAGGAACAACACCACAGGGACAGCAATCTACTAAACTTCTGAAGATACGAAAGAAATGGCTGTTCGCTTATCGGAGATTTTCATAGATTGAGACAACCTGTAATAGGCTCACGCAGGTCAGCCAGTCTCAAGTTTTCTAGGAAATGGACACCTTTAAGTAAGAGCGAAACAAATATTCCTTCTGTGGTTTTAAATAATTCCTCTGGTGATTGTGCAGATTTAAGGTAGCAAGAGTTTCCAGCTGGAAATGATCACAGCTTAGAGCAAATGTTCACAGGCTCCCTGAGGCAAGTTCCTTGCCAGTGCCAAATAATATAAGTCTACATCATTAGCATGGCTGGGGGAGGAAGAAAGGGCTGCTACCTCTGAATTCAGTCCAAGAGCAGAACACCTGAGACAGGCTTCCATAGCACCTAATCGTATCCAACTTCAGGCAGACACCTAGGTCCCAGTGTATTCTGTGCAAAGACGCAGGTTCCTTTAGAGCAGAAGTCTACTTCAGATGTGCTGCCCTGCTCTCTAAAGACATTCATCTCTACACAGCCCACAGAGACTAACCCCTTAATTTGGACACTCAATACCAAGAACTGAATATCCCCAAAAGGGCATGGTTTACAGCATTCCTACTGCTGGAGCAGGATACAACTACCTGGTGACATAGATTAAAGGAAACAACGAGCAAAGTTGTCTCGTGAGAATTCATCACTTTGAGTGATAGGGACAGGGCAAGGCCTGAGTCAGGGGAAGAAGCACATCCCTCCTCAAACCATTCTATTTAAAATGTCTTTAGGATATCAAACTTTGGCATGTGAAGACTGCAAAATAAATACAACTGAACACAGAAATAAGATCAGTACAGTATCTAATATACTATGATACATAACTGTTCTTTTAATTAGAGGTGGATTTGTTGGGAAAAGTAGATACTCCTGTGACAGCTCTTTAGAATACAATAAATCATCAACTAGCTGTCCCTACCTGTATTTTCTTGTTGTTAGTTTAGATAAGATCTTTCAAAATCCAAAGAAAAAAAGGAAGATGAAAAAAAAAGAAAAACCGAAAACTCAGAAAACTCCCCAAACCCCAAAATACAAGGCAAAAGGATCTGTTTCTTCAAGTCATAATCAAGTATTGAAACAAAATGTTATCCTACCTTCCAAAGTCCTACTAAGAGTCCTGGATTCAGACTGAAGAGCTGGACAAGCTTATCAGCACCAAGTGCTACACTACTTTCAGTCAGGTTAGCAAGATGGTATTCAGCAATTAAGGAACGTCGACGAGGTCTTTGAAAAGAACACACAGAATGTAGCAACAAGACTATGTGTCCTTATTTATGTAGGAGTTCAGCCTAATTTCATTTTTAACTCTGAAGTCTGACCAACAACACATGATGAAAACAGTTTTGAAAGCATTCAGCATGCACAGCCATAAACTTTACTTCTGAACAACTACAACATACTAGCAGGATCTCAACAGCTAACAAGAAAAGAAACAAAAGCCACCATAGGATGGCCTAATATACTACTTAAAAAAAGAAGAAAAACTTAGATGCTTGCCCAATATTTCAAAATAGCCACAGAATTACTTTATAATTTGTTCTTAATACTATGTTGGTACTAGATGGAGTCACTGAACGTTTGTCAGTATGAAGCAAGCTACTAAGAAGGTAAATTCTTCCTCCACAGAAGCAAAATTCCAAGGAAAGGATCAAGCTGTACATACAATAAATTAAAAGCTTCTGTTAGAGGAAGCTTTCCGTTTTTTAGGAAATTACTTCTAGATTTTGCCTGTAATTAAAGTGATTTAGCTCCATAACACCCTTCAACTAAAGCTCATACTTCACAGGCGTTCTTATCAGCAAATGATGCATAAAAAAGAGCAGAAAGCGGAGTTTGCGTTACCTGTTCAGAATGGAGAAATAACTCCTTCTAAAACCCTTCACAGACTTAGGCTCTTCTATTCAAAACTGTTCCTAGATTTCCCAATAGTATCGCAGTAGTATCACCTACCACTACACACTACTAGGAAGACAGCAACCAACAGGAACTTTGTCACATTACCTTGAACAGTAAAATTTGGGGCAGGGATGGGACATCAACCCTTTCCATCTTTAAGTCAATCAGGCTGGTATAAATACAGGGACTTTCCCAAAGTCCCTGCACTAGCTCCTTATAGTCTTAACATTCTGATTAACATTCTGATATTTGCGAAATCATGACCTTCATGTATATTCACAAGCTCTAACAGCTTATGACTCTGTGAAATAAATACACTAAATGCCTGCAAGTTTTCTTCTACTATTTTCTACATATGAATCATCATCTTGGTAAAATAACTACATTTCCCACACAATTTGACTGCAAGACTTTGTTTAGCTGACTTTACACAAAAGGTTTCTTTTGATTGATTTTTTTTTTTTTAGGCAAATACTTCGCTTCTGCTTGAGGAACCGTGGTTTTTGTATGTGAACAACCATTCTCTCTTTTCAGAGCTCTACTGCTAGGGGTTTTGCATAAGAAGCAAGTAGCTGATACTGCATATACTAAAACAACACAGAAGACACAGATGTGGAAAACTCCTTGACAGCTACCAAATACATACCTACCTCAAATACATACTTTTAATTTAAACAACTTTTCTCAGAATATAATGCCAGAAAAATATTGTACACACTTGAGTTACAAAACAACTGCCATCCCAAATTGTGCTTTTTTTATATGCATGTACTTGCACAAGCAGCCAAATACCAAGGTCCCTAAATTCACATACACACTTATCAGACAGAAAAAAAATAAATGCTATTAACATAGATTACCTGATTGTAGCCACATAAACATTGAAGAACTGTTCCAATCCAAATGTCTCACATTAAATTCTCCTAGATGTACATGTTTGTTTCATGCTCATTTGTATCTATACCTTAGATTCAGCTTTCCAAGGCAGGACCTATCAGTCTCTATCTTACATGCCAGTAGCTACATTAACCTACGAATTAGCGTCATAGCTCACTGGATTATATCTGCTTCTTGCTAAAAAGCTCTACCAATGAAGAGAAGGACATAGGCTTTGGAAGAAATACTACATAGAGGCTTTCTAAGAAAGAACGAACTTGTTAAGCCACACCAAGGTCAGACTGTTCCTACAGACACATTATCAACCAGTTACACCAAAAACCCCTCAAAAATCCTATGTTAAAACTCACCCATTCTTGCTGGGAGCTTGGCTTTGGTCAGGAAGCAATGGTATAACTCCAAATAGTTTTAGGGTTGACAGGCTATCTAAGCATGGCCAATTTGTACTATACCAAAGTATAGTAACAGATGTGTCCTTAAATGATAGCTTTGCCTTCTCCGTTATGTGTTCCTTTCCATTTTTGTCCTTTAGAACAATCATCCAACTCAAGCCAGAGGCTCTGTTATTTAGGAATCGAGAGGGGAGAGGGGTGTTTAAAAAAAAAGATTTTCAAGGTGACAAAATTTAAACTATGCTTCCAACAGAATTTTTAAATTTCTACTAACTGCTACTTATGTTTCTCAGCCTAGGTCATTTATAGGCTATCATCGTATCTTCCCATTATGATATATATTTTATAGCTCTATTTCCATATCCCCCCAGCATTTCCAAAGCCATTAATATTCTGTACATTGTTTTCAAGTAAACATCTTCTGTAACAAGGCATTGCTTACTTCATAGCTTCTTTGTTTTTACATGGAAGACCTGTATAAGGATCTACAGGTTTAACAAGTCGCATTACTCTCGTTTTGACAGCAGCTATTTGTTTGAAGATGTATTCTTTCTTCCAGTACCCAGGCTTTCTATCATGTAGAGCAGCACAGCCCAAGGAAACAGTTTCTGTTTGTTCAGACTTCATTTTCCAAATTGTCCTTTTTGGTTGAAAACAAATGGAATAGATTTTCAGCCAGATTCCACTGAAAATAAAAATAGAATAAAGAGGAAAACCACATAAATTTCAAGAATAGTTACTTAATTATTCTTATATGCATGTCTCAGCTACCGCTGAGCATAATGTTAGCAGAAAAATAAAAAGTCCTAGATTATCAGCAAACTGGGTTTGATCTAAATCTAACTTTATAGAATACCAGAAACTGTAGCCTCCTAGATACTCATCAAGAAAATGCAAAGGCACAGTTGTACACTTTTCCCCATTTTGACCTTCCAACAGCTCATCTGAGGTCAGTTTCCCTGGTGCAAACATGAAGGCTCAGGAACCAAAAGATGCTAGATGTCAGCATTTCTCATGGGCTTACTAGATTATCTCAAAGAATATAGAATCTTTGAGTACATCTCTTGTTCTGGATTATACATACCAAATGAGATCCACTTACAACTTTCTGCTCTACCACAGGAAAAAAAAAAGTTATTCAGTTAATTCTTACAGTATGCCAGTAAGGTTGACAAACATCTCAACTACATATACAGAAAATGTTTGACTAGTGCTCTGTAAAGTAGGATCATCAGATATTGGGAACTTCCCACTGTTTTACGCCTCTCAATAGCACACTAGAGTATTTGGTTTTTTAAAAGCCTTTTTTCCCCTTATGCTACTACTTCCTTCACAGACACTCACAAAAGCAGATTTTAAAAAAAACAGCAAAACAAAACAGTACATATCAGAGAAAGCTATCATGAGGAAACAAAGAAAAGGTAAGTCTTGTCTGTCTTCCTGAAAACACAGGATCCAGGATGAAGCTCAGAAACAGCACAGGCATACTCAGCGACTTAAGTGAAAACCAATTAAGATTAATCAGTTACTTTTGAAGATTCCACCTCAAAACAATGATGCATCCTCCTCACACAAAATCAGCTAGTGGAAAAAGTGTTTTAATACCTCTTACCCAAACAAAGACAATCTGGACCCCTCAAGTTTCTCACACAGATACAGCTGAAAGCGGGGTGGAGGAGGACAATTAGAATCCCCTACGTTTGGTGGTGGTACCACCGTCATGTCAATCCCTTCTGCACTCTCTTTTGAAAAGCTCAGGGAAGAGATGTCTTTTTGAAGAGATCAAAGAAACATGCAACAGGAATGATGGGTTCACCTCTTTCCCGTGAGGAGAAAATATGAGATCACATTTCGCCCCCACAGTATCTCTAGGACAGTTCAGGGAATACTGAGTACAAGAAGTTACAAGAATTCAAACAACAATCTGTGAATAAACGTTTCCAGTAAGTTTTCTAATTTTAAAGTGCTAGCCACGCAGTCTACCTAACTGCATGAAAGAAAATTAATAGCAACAGAAATAAATTCTCAAGAGAAATTATCTACTGTTTATCAGCAAGATTACCTTTACCAGTCCTCGCTTATCCCCAGGCAAACTTACACTAATATGCTTTGTAATGCGTTTTTCCCCTCCTTAAAGCATTAAAGCATTCAAGGACTGAATCCATTCCACACTGCCTCCTATCTATGAAAACCACTCTCACTTCATCAGCTGCTGAGAATAAGTCCTCACACGCCGAGAGCCAGGCTCTTTGTTACTGATGCAAACGTACTCAGGAATTTTGCAAAAACCTTCCAGCCTGCTGCTCTGCAGATATATGTACAATCTCCCACTGCCATTTTTTGAGTCAAAGCTGTTTAAAACACAGACCCATAAACAGAGGAGAAAAAAAGGGGGGGACTTGGAATCACAAGCGTTTAGGGAGGTATCACTGCCCTTTCATCCTCAACTTCTGAAGAATTCAGGACAGACAAATGAAAGAGGCATCCAACAGGGAAGGACAAATTTGTCTCTTTCATAGCAGAGTACATGACACTTCTGCCTCAAAGTGTTAAGTATAATATTCATCTCAAGGCCTCTTATTGGACTTTGTTACAACAAGCCAATCCAACCCCTCACTGCTAACTTAAATGCCAGAAACAGACACGCACCATTGTCAGTCACCACTTGACCACAATGGCACAAAGATCTGGGCAAAGCAAAAAGATCTTCCCCTGTGCTCTGGCTTCTCACTTCCCCTTATACAAGCACCTTCTGCTGGAGATCAAAACCCTCAGGCTTTCAGACAGACCATCTATGTGAGCTTGCCACGCTGCATGACAGGAAGGCTGGAATAATACCACATGAGGCATGTCAGTGCAGAACGGGGGGTCAGAAACATTTCCTTTCCTTCAACAGTTACATCGCAGACATCAGCGCCAAGGAACCATTAAAGCACAGACATTATTTGAAAAGCCCAAAGACAAAGCACTGCATTAGGCAGCACAGATATATCACGATGAAAGCCTGATGGTCCTGCTGCATCAAGGACAGCATCCTGTACATCCAGGACAGCAGAAATATCCTCAAAAAGATACTCTGCCTAAAAACCAAGATCAAATTTGTCACAGAGATACACAGGGACTTCAAGTAAAACTTCTGTTAATTCACCACAAGATTCAGGGACTCAAGAAGGTCCACGGAAATCCAGCAGGAAGAACTGACCTGGTCCCACTGAACCAGTCAGTCTCCTAGATAAGGGAAAGTATCTCTTCCTTGAATCCCACTTGTGCACATATAGTAATCTCCATCGACATTAGAAAATGGAAACAGACATTGTTGAGATGGAAACAGATGAATCAGCTTCCCTTGAACAGCCACAGTGATTTTATCCTACCTTACTATCCTGAAGTAGAAAATGCATATTAAGATATATAATCTGTGTCAACTACACAATTTTTATCTACATGCACCTGCTGACAGCCTCAAAAAATAAATCTGGATTATGGCCTTCCCTTTAAATTCATCAGTTCTAAAGGTGTCAATGCCACTGTTAACTGATCCACTGTACAAGTTCTGGCAAAAAAGTGAGAAATGGATGAATACCAGATGCAGCAACTTCCTATATAGGAAGACATTTTCTCATTTAAACAACACTAACGCAGCAGAATCCTAGGGAAAAAAAAAAGGATACCCAGATGTCCTAGTTATCACATACCAACCAGGGTCTCTCCTCTTGATCCTTTCACAAAATTATCACGATACTGGTAGGAGAAATTTGTGAACTCTGTATAAGCAATCACGTACAAAAAAAAAAAAGTGTCAGTATTTATCTTTGCCCCTTTTGTTTTCATTTAGAAGTCACCAGAATTTGACAGAAAGAGCAACAGATAAAACCCACTAGTGACTCACTTGACTAAATCAAGCCCTCTGCAAAAACCTGATGAAAGAACTAAATAAGTAGGACTTCAAAACTGTGAAAGCTATGACAATTCTACAAAGCCACTGGCTACACACCACTAAGAATTGCCTGAACCAAAAAGCCTGTGCAGGTGCATGTGAATGCAAACAAATATATGCAAATTTTACAACAAAATAAATGCTAATAGCAACATTTCAAAACACTGTATTTAGTTTTCGGCTCATAACTCCCATTAAACTTAACAGGGCTCGCACAGCTAGAATTCCACACAACACATTGTACTGTGAGCTATGCAGTACATTTTCAGCAGAGTAATTGCCAGTAGGTACATGCATCAGTGCTCTGGCATCAGTGAAACTAAATTAGAAAGACTCATAACTCAGGTAAACATGATTAAGGCTAGCACTTATGCTTCCCTCTTCCTTACTTGTCATTGGCCAGATGATAGAAGTGCTTATTCACACAACCAACAGACAACAGGGACACAGCATCCAAATAGGAAAATATCTTTATCAGCATTTCTGATGGCAGGCTGGAAGAAAGAGAAACACCATTAGACTTGCCTGCAAACTTCAGAAGTGACAATGGCAAAGAATTTAAATTCCAAACCAGAGCAGAACCAAAGAGATGGAAACTATCAGCTTGTAAATACACAAATCAGAACTCACCTGAAGAGTTAATTTGCAGAGTTTGGGTCCCGATTTGTCTCTCTGATATAAGACATTTGCTTAAAACAATTCACCACAACCTATTCAGGTGGCACAGCACAATTACATAAAAAGTTACGGGTTTGCATTTTCCTTAAACTTTGGTAACTTTAACCCAGTCTGACATGAAACTACCTCATTCAACTTCAGTTTCTCACTGCTTGTACCATGATTTTAACACTTAGTCCATAACCACCGGCATTTGCCAGTACTGTGTATACTCACTCTCCTCCTGACTGTGGAGTCAGGTCTCAGGATGCACCAGGACAGAAATGTCCTAGTCAGACAGTGAGATCATGCTCCACCTCATCAAAATCTTCAAACCATCTGTGCTTAGGAGTCTCATTCAGTTTTCATTTATGTCAACAGAAAGATGTGAACTTCAAAATAAAAGCTGAGTGGCATCTTGAGAACATTAATGTTTCTGTGCATCTGTAAGGCTGCCTGAAATGCAGGTGCCAGCCTAATGCAAGCAGCACATCATAATTTGGACATGATCCACCATAATTTTTGTATTAACAGACAGAAACCTAATACCCTTTGAGTAGTACCTGGTAACTGCACAGAGTTTAAGAAAAGATGCATTTTATACTCCACTTTTTGGAACATGAGAGTACGGTAACATCAAAATCACCACTGAAAATATTAGCTGCTGTGAAAGTCCACACCTCAGCCATGTCTCTTGTCCATTTACCACTGTGTCACTGACAACACCTGCCCATTTATAATACTGTATTCCAGAAGCACACAGCTTTCACGCCTAGAATGACAGTAACACCAATAGTCCAAGGTTGGTATTAAAACTCAGAATTTTAATTGCACTAACATAGAGGCGACTGTGCCAAAGCTTGCACAGTTATTTTATGAAATAACTCAAACACTGTACGCCCAAAGCAGTTAGTGCATTTATTCCAGAGAGAATTTAGAAATGATCCCTCAAAAAGCTGCAAGTTAGCTAAAATAATATGCTTGATCCAGAATTCTCAACAGTAGTTTTTACAACTGTATTATTTTTTCTTTGAAGGAAGCTGAGAGAAGGGAATTTTTTTTTCTTTTTTCTCGTCTTTTACACCAAACTAACGGCATAAGGGACTGAACTGGCCATCCAATGGAAAACAGAGAAACAACTACACAGGAAGCTACAAAAAGTATAAACCAAAGCAAATTAATTAATCTTTCATGTAACATTTTTAGATTATTTTTTTTGGTAGAAATGTAACTAATTTTCAAAAAGAAAACAACTCATGATTACATTGAAAGGGCCCTTTCACTGTCAAACAGGAAGGGAAACATTTACCTTGTGGCAAACATTCATCAGCCACTTTATTCCTCCCGCCTCATCCTGCTCCACCATCCTAAGCCTCTCTACACAAAGCAACAAGCATCAAGAGAAACATCTGAAGTTTAACTCCCAGCTGGCTTTTATTGAAGTAATACAATAACAATTTTTGTTCTCAAGGAACAACACAGCCCATGACTTGCAAAGGAGTTGCTGAACACTTTGTATGACTTGGAAAACCTACATCCTCCATATGAACTTAGAAAGGGAGGTGAGGGAGAACCATACCAGAAAACTTTAGAAGGTCAACATAAGATCACAAAGTATGCCAGGAAAGCATACCTTTTCTTTTCGACCCAGAACATGTGATATGGAAATCTCCAAGGTATGAACATTACTGTAAGCAGTCAAAAGATGGCTGATAGTCTGCAAGGGGTCTTCCACTCTTACTCCTAAAGACATACTCACCTCTCAATGCACAGATTAGGTTTCGGTTTTATGGAAGGTGTCAAATACAGACTTTTAATTCCAGCATTTACAGTTTCAGAACATGCCCCAGGCCTGGCAGCAAAGCTCCTTGACCTATTTCTAAAAAAGAAAAGCTCTGAGGAGTCACATCATCACAAAATGAAGTATGCATACCGTGCACACCTAGACACCACATCTCAACTGAGACAGGATTCAGGGAATATATCACATGGTAATTCATTATTACCAGTTCACAAATTTGAACAATTATCACCAGGTTAAAATACCTGACATCAGGAAGATGTCAGATTTAAACTCATAGGTGTCTCTCCTGTGATTAATCTCCCACAGTAGTCAGAAGGGAATAGTGTCACACCAGCAAATCAGTTTGAATCCAGTAGAGATCTATTAAGGTTAGACAGCTGCACCACTGTGGCCACCACAATCAAGCTCCAGATAGGCCCCTTCAGTAAGTAAAACTCACTGATTAATCTTCTGTTTTGCAGCATTACTCCAGGGACATTTTTGAGCCATCCAACTTTGCCAAGCTCCTAAGAGATACCAAATAAAACAGTACCTTGAAACTTTCTCAAAAACTGACAAGGCTCAAAAAGAATTCCCTTGACTACACAACAGAATCACATTTGAAACAAAGTTATAGTCTCATGTCAGATTTTCGCCTCCTAAAATACTTGCAAATGTGTGAGATAAGTGTTAGCATCAACAGGCAAGATGGGCATCAGTGTTTTTATTGCTCATTAACACACAACAATTTGGACAGAAATTACTCTCTTTTACTAAAGAAAGCAACTTTGCATATTTCTAACACAAATAAATTCTTACAATCCAACTGGCCACACATTTTTTCCAAGATTTCTGCTAATAAGAACTTTGTAAGCTGTAATTACAAATACTATCATTAAAGCATATAGAAATATTCAGATGGAGTTTTGGTCTTAATCAAATCCTTACATTTCATACCCACTGATGCCACCATGCAGGCAGAGCTCCCCATACACTCTATTAGTGATCGTTTGTATAGCCAGCTGACTTTCCAACACCTGGTCAACCCAGCTCTGGGTTTCTAAGTAACCAATCCGTGTTAGGGGAAAAAAAATATATATGTAATTTTGAAGTACATGGGTACCACATACATTTAATGCACACTCTTCTTAAGACTGGTTTATGCGCAAAGAAAAACAAAAAATGGGAGAAAAGTTGCCCAGCAGAGAAAGACCTGGGTGTGCTGTTTGACAGCCGGCTGAATATGAGCCAGCAGTGTGCCCAGGTGGCCAAGAAGGCCAATGGCATCCTGGCCTGTATCAGAAATAGTGTGGCCAGCAGGAGCAGGGAGGTGATTGTTCCCCTGTACTGGGCACTGGTGAGGCCGCACCTCGAGTACTGTGTTCAGTTTTGGGCCCCTCACTACAGGAAAGACATTGAGGTGCTGGAATGTGTCCAGAGGAGGGCAACCAAGCTGGTGAAGGGTCTGGAGAATGAGTCTTATGAGGAGCGGCTGAGGGAGCTGGGGCTGTTTAGTCTGGAGAAAAGGAGGCTGAGGGGAGACCTGATCGCTCTCTACAACTGCCTGAAAGGAGGTTGTAGCGAGGTGGGTGTTGGTCTCTTCCATCAGGTGGCTGGAAAGAGGACAAGAGGAAATGGCCTCAAGTTGAGGCAAGGGAGATTTAGGTTAGATGTTAGGAAAAATTTTTTTACTGAGAGGGTTGTCAAACATTGCAATGGGCTGCCCAGGGAAGTGGTTGAGTCACCATCCCTGGAGATATTAAAAAAGCGAGTGGACAGAGTACTTCAGGACATGGTTTAGTGGGCATGGTTCATGGTTGGACTCGATGATCTTGAAGGTCTTTTCCAACCTAAATGATTCTATGAGTCTATCATTTCAGCTTGCATGTCAATCACTGGTAGACTAACAAAATTAACAACTACAAAAAAAGTAACTGTATATCAAATACACCCTGAAGGTCAAGCAAATGTTTTACTCATGTATTATTATCAAGAAGTACACTTAGATGATGAGATTGTAACAAACTGCATTTTTCAAAAGCTATTAAAGGGATTTAGAGACACAAGTTGTGTTCAACAGCAGCAGAACTACCACTGCTGTATCCTTCTGGGCAGCACATCCCAGGCTATTCTGCCTGTATCTATGCTGAAAGCACAAAGATACCTAGTTTGGGCATACCCTACAGTGACATACCTACACAGACTCCAGGTACAGGAGTAATTCAGATCAGGAGCTGGGTCCTGGATTTTACAACACACTTTACCTGGTACAAGCATAACCTGCACTGCCTATATTCAGTCCTTCTTACTCTCTTTTTAACCACTCCATGCACCCCCTTTTCTTCACCCCAGGAAAGAATTCCTGAAGTGAGAGAAATGGTGCCTACACATGCCTTGAAAACTTCGCCATAGTATCTACCACTTTTGTAAGCTTCGATTCAAAAAAAGTATTGAATTTTTGCATCTTCTAAACAAAAAATATTCTCAAGGTATGAAGAACAGCAAGTCCATTGCATAAACTATTCTTCAAGTATTGCATATTTGAAATTAGTATTAACAAAATGCTTTTACACAGCACTGACAAAGCTTGCTTGCCCAAGTTAAAAACTGATGACAGCTGTTACTCCCCCTCTTTAGAGACTTCTAGTAACAACTGAGATGCTCTTGCTTAGAGGCACAACAACCTCAATTGCCATCTCATTAGCTTTCAACTTGTGCGACTCAGTTTTGTACCAGTATTTTCACTTTCATACCCTGTACTACTTGCAACATGGCTATTGGTTTTTTGCTGGTCAGGGAACAAATCTATTTCAAAGAACATATAGAAAGTTGTAAGTAGTGACAAAACCTGCCTCCTCCTCCAAATGTCAAAGCATACCTGGGGATAAACAGAAATGACAGTAATGTTTTGACATTTGTTTTTTCTTCCTCAGCTAACAATTCCAAAGTCTTTTAAAAAGCTGGATGTTATCCACTCGATTTCCAGGTTAAAAAAAACGGGGAGAATCAAACAGCTATGAAACCCAAGGTTGTACAAATGGGTTGGCAGACAAACCCGCTTTGTCAACTTTGCTTCTAAGACTGGTGCTTTAAACTCTTGGAAGCCGAACCTGCGCTATAAGAATTAAGCTAACCACACCTTCCACGATGAAATCCTCCCATTTATTACAAAGGCCTAACTACCCTGAACATATATGCATGAGCCACCAAGCTAGCTACTACTTCGTAGACGGCCTACCGCTTATCACACTACCTCCTCTAAACTCAAGCCCATACCCAAGTTTAAGCCTCACTACCCAGACAGAAAACAACGCCTTAAACCTAGGCCTTCCCTACACCTGGGGACGCCTGTGTTTCCTACCGCAAGGCCCGTCACCTTTACCGAGACATCCCCCTCCACAGGGCTGGGGGGAGGGAGAGGAGAGCACCTCGGCCATGAGGGAGCAGGCCAGAGCTGTGGCAGGTTTAAGAGCTGGAAACCAGAGCCGTAAGGCAGGTGGAAGGCGTTTGCCAAGGGCGTTAAGGAAAAACAACAAACCACCCGCCACGGGCAAGGTGGAAAAGGACGAGGAGAGGCAGCTCTGGGGCGGCAGAGCCCTGCTCCCCGCTCGACGCCCGCCGGCGGCCTCTCCTCAGGCCGGGCAGGGAGACCGTTACCTGGGCCCGGCGGAGGCGACCGCAGGAGCAAAAGGCCGCGGCGGCCCGACCTCGGCGGCACCAGGGGAAGCCGGCGCCACGCTGCGCCCGTACCGCCGCAGGGCCCT